TAGGAGCAATATGCTCCTCATTTCTGACTACCTCGGTATTGCTATCCATAGAGTTCACGTGCATGTAACTCGGAGCCAAATTGCCCATAGGGGAATGGCCGGTAGGCTGTCCAGGATCTACGAAATTTTTTGCCATATCATCCACAACCATAATATCAGTGCATGGCTCACTACCATTTGATAGTGGCTGGCGTTAATTACATTCATTCTTTTATTTAGACAAAGAATTATAAATTAGGGTAAATAAGGCAAATTGTCCTAGACTATAAGGTATTGCTTTTTAAAGTTTTTTGACTATTAAAAGTTACAAAATGGTCACCCGACTATTCATTATGTTCCAAACTCGTCCTTTTTTATAAAAAAAAAAGAATGTACGATATTCTGAGCTGAACATTAACTTGTTGACCGTGATATGATACAATTTGATCCCAAAATCCCAAATGACTATTATATCCTAGTCATCATGTTAACACCCAGCTTAAACAATCATCAATTTTTTATCGAAAAATGGTGAGTCTGGGACATAATAAATAATCGAGTGACTATTTTATACCTTTAAATAGTCGAGAAATCAACAAAGCAACACTCTATAATTGAGCGATTGTTTTATAACTTTTAATAATCGAATAACTTAATAAAACAGTACCTATAGTCGGAATACCATTCACGTTCTTCATCCTATAAATTTAAAAGATTATTAAATTCAGATTGGTAGTCAAATTTATGCTTAATGATTAGAGGTGAGGTGAAAGAGAAAGGGAGAGAAGCGAAATATTTTATAAGATAAATAAAAAATATTTGTTCAAGTATACACTAATTAAGCCGAGCCATATAATTGACCAATATGAAAAGAAATATATATATTCTAGTCACTCATTTTCAACCGGAGTGCTATTTAATATATATAATTTTTTTTTAAAATATATATAATATATAGTTTTTGAAAACATTTTGAAAACATATATATAATATATAGTTTCAATTTTCTTAATTAAGACAATTGGAAATTAAATTAGTGTCGAAAGGACAGTATAAGGGTGCTAATCCTTCCTTAACTGTAACCGACTTCCGAGCCTGACATATTTTTGGTAAGACGCAGATCAGGTAAGATAACAAACCGAGGTGTCCGATCAACCTAATTTTTGTTCTTAAAAATAAATGATCGGTGTCGACTCTAACCCACTTATTTAAATTAAAGCTCAATTTCATACCCACCTGAAAGATAGTTACTATATATATATATATATATATATCTAATTTGAAGGAATCTATGTATATCAAATAAGGTGACAAAGGAATGTCTAAGATTGGTCAATGGATGAAAGTTTGAGTGATAGGTCATAGGTACGAGAATGTTGGTGGTCGTACGCGTTTGTAAAGTAAGACTGGTAATTGTTGCTAATTTTGTCCTCTATAATATATATTTCCTCGGTTAAAACATGTTAAAGAAGAAAAGTCTTGTTTATTTAAATGCTTATTGCCTTTGCTTTTAGCTTACTTAGGGATGAATATGGGTCGAGTTTTCAGTCAACTCAATTTGATTTGAAAATTTTATATTTCCATCTGAAATTTAATCCGACCTGAGCTTAGAGTAATTTCACCAGACTCGACCCGAGTTTAGCTATTTTATATTATTTTTGGGTTGGGTCGGAACCCATTGGGTTTGAGTCTTGTCGGAACTGTCTTTCGGTTGAGCCCCATAATTGGATTTCGATTTGAATTGATTGGGTTAGAGTCGCCACCGACCATTTTAAAACAAATTTAGGTGGGTTGGACACCATCTTACTTGATCTGCATTGTACCAGAAACGTGTACGGTCAAGGAAGGATTAGCACCCTTGAACCGCCCTTTCGGTACCAATTAATTTGACGGTTGCCTTTAATTGCGAAAAATTAGAAATTTAAATTTAAATACTCGATTTGAATTATTTACCTTTGATCGTTTGAAATTACCGCTGTAAATGCCAAAAAATATTAGAGAGTAAAATAAAAATAAATACAAAAAGGAATAAAAAGAATATATATATATATATGCACCCATTTTAATATAATAATAATAATACAAAATAGTTGACAAAGATGAACAAAAGCTAGTAAAAAAAATAAAGATGATGGGAAATAATAAAATAAAAAAAATTAATAATAAAAGGTTAGTAAACAAATAAATAAATTAGAATAAAAAAGGTAAAAAAAGAAAAATTAAATTAAATTAAAACCGTGAGAAAAATAAAATAAAATAGAAAGGCAGCAAGGACTAAAATTAAAAATAAAATAAAACGAGGGACAAATTTAAGAGAAAAAAACGAAATTAGAACCAAATTAATAGTTTCGATCAAATGCTTACAAAACCCGAGGGACCAAAATGGAAATTGACCCTTTACAGCTGGAAAACACGGGTATGGGAGCTTAAAACGGCGTAGTTTCGTTCCCCCTATATATGCACATTTCAAAGGCCAAAATGGCCAAGCCTTCTTAATTTGGCATCTTCCCTCTCCCTCTAAAGATGAAATCTCTCTCGCCTCTCTCTAGAGATCCCCATCGGCGGGGAACTGGCCACCCGTAGACATCCTCTATCGATCGTCGCTCGCGACGGCCGGTAACACCTGAATCACTCAAAACACTCCTCTCTACCCCGTAAATGCTATCCCGATGCCTAAATCCCCAAAAACCCCGCCAATCAACGTAGATCTAGTCCGAAAGCTTCTGTTTGTACCTTTTTGCCGACGACCTTTTGCCTTCTCGATTGAGACCTCGACTTTCGGTTTTTCTTGCGTATTTGCTTTGTGTTTTTTTTGTGGGGCTTTGGTCTCACTGTTTTATTTTTAGGATGGTTGGCTGTTCGTTTTTGGCTCTTTGTTGACGTTGGCTTGTCATTGATGTTGTGTATCTCGACTGTTTTTGGGTTTTGGTTGGTCGTGTTTCGATTTGCTCTCGTTGGTGAGGTTCTGGTTTACTATTTGGTATTGTGTGTTTTTGTTGGCTCTCGTTTACTATTGGTACTCGATGGTTCTGTTCGTAATGGGTACTGTTCTAGTGGCTGGTTGGCTCTCTCGTGAGTTACGTCCTTTTCAGTCGATCTGTGGTGGGGTATTTATACCCCCACCGGTGCTGGTCAGTTCCGATGGTCGTGGGGTCGTGAACGTTACTGCTGAAATCCTAGGATGGTTCAGTCCCGGGATCCTCGGCCGACGTCCGGCCGTTTCACGTGACCCTTGATCTCCTGATTTTGTGGCGCTGTTGAGGGTTGAACGAAACCCTAGACGGTTACAACCCTAACCTCTGCTGGGCTGGTTCAGGCCCAATCTGGACTGAAATGTGGACTGGATTTGGACCCGTTGACCCTGACAAAAATAACAATAAATTAAATTAAATTAAATTAGATTAATAAAATGAAATAAAATAAAATAAAATAAATATTAGTAATAATATAGATTATATAATATATGTTTCAAAAAATATATTTTTTAAACTATATATTATATTTAAAAACGTTTTCAAAACTATATATTATATAGTTTTCAAAAATGATTTTAAAAATATTATATAAGTTTTCCAAAATGTTTTTAAACTATATATTATATAAATTTTCAAAAAATGTTTTTTTTAAAACTATATATTATATTTTCAAAATGATTTCAAAATTATATACAATATAATTTTCAAAATGTTTTAAAACTTATATATTGTATATAAGTTTTCAAAAAACGTTTTAAAAAACTATATAATATATATTTCAAAAAATATTTTTTTTTGAAAACTATATATTATATTTTTCAAAAACATTTTCAAAAATTATACTATATTACTATAATAAAAATAAATAAATAAAAAAGTCCAAACTCGGATGAAAATGAGTGTCTATAAGTCTCGTACTCATCCCTAAGCTTACTTGCATGTACAGGACAATTAGGTGTCACCTAAACTACACTGAATTTAGGGATGGATTGAGAGGATGCGGTTGAACTCTTAAAAGTTTTAATTTCTCTTATATTTTATTTTTTTTATATTTTCTATGAATTATTTAATTTCACACTCCTATGATTTTATAATCTCTCACCCCTAAAATTTTAATATTATTTCTTTATATTCGTACATCTGATACAAAATTTTGCGTTTGTCCCTAATTGCAATGTGGCATGTTATTCTTAACATAGTCGAAATTTTGTTTAAAAAATATATATTAAAGTTACATAAATGAATATATGATTCAAATTTAATAAAAAAAATATAAAATAAAAGAGAATTTAATAAATGAAAAGTTATATAAAATTAAAGAATTAAATTAATAAAATAAAAAATTAATTAAAGTTAAAACTTACATAGGTATCCTAAAATGGTTTAAGGATACATAGTTTAAATTTGGTCAAAATAATTAACTTAAAAAAGGAAAAATTAAAGAAATAGATAAATTTAATAGAAAATCGTAAATTTATCGATTTGCTTAACTAAAGACCCAATGATATTATTTTAATCTAATTTTTTTATTATTCTAATTTTTCTATTTCAAATTTGACTCAAATCGAAAATATAAACATAAACTAAATAATTTATAAAATAATTTTTATAAATTATATAAATTTTAAATTCTTGTAAATTAAAATAAATAAATTATTTTTCAATTTCCATAAAGTAGAAGGTTGGAGGATGAAATTCATAATTAGACAAAAGAGTACATGCAAAAAGTATAAATAATTAAAAGATTATTTCCAACACAAGACCCTCTAAATCTTTTACGCCATTTCATCGGACGAGTTAACGATAGCCGCTGCTGCCTCCGCAACGTTTTGATCGCCGCCGTCCGTGATTAGTTCCGACGTCCCTATCCTCTGCCTTCGCCTCCATGTCTCAATCCCTCTAGCTTGACTTGGTCCCTTTCCGCTTTTTTCTATTTATTCACTCAGAAGACGAGAGGTGAAAAAAAATCCATTTATTCCTCACTGACTTCTTTTTGTAGTCAGACCATACTCCCAGGAAGCTTCAAAAAGAAATAAGGCTGAAGCAATGGTCATCTGGTTTGTTATAAACGAAGTGTTATTGAATGAACGCTTAAATATCCAGCGGCTACATTCTATCAACCGCCAAGTGTTCGGTCTTTTGTCCCTGAGGAGAAGCTGTTACCAACAACCCTTATTTGGGTGGTTTCAAATCAGACCAATGACTTCCAGTAGACGAGTCCAAGACCGTAGCAAGTACAAACGAATTCACCATCTCGAAATTGTAAAAGAGAAATGGAAAATATTGTCAAAGGTTTTGTTTTTGATGGAAGTTATAAAGAGAGAAACCGAGATGGTTATCCCTGTGAGGTCATTGTATCAATACAGGAAGCAAATCAATATACCCAAACCCCATAAAATAACCGATTTCATCGAGAAATGTCCCAAGTTGTTCGAATTATATAAGGATCAAAGGGGAACCTTATGGTGTGGAATGACTAAAGAAGCCGAGGATTTGTTGGAAGAAGAGGAAAGGCTGGTTGAGGAACAATCGATCAAAGCTGTTGAGTATGTTACTAGGATACTAATGATGTCAGTCGATAAACGGATTCGGTTAGACAAGATCGCTCATTTTAGGAGAGATTTTGGTTTGCCAATTGATTTTAGGAACAAGTGGGTGAATCAGTATCCACAATATTTTAGAGTTGTAAAATCTAAAGATGGGGTTGAGTTTTTGGAGCTTGTAAATTGGAATCCTGCTTGGGCTATTACAGAGTTGGAGAAGAAATCATTGGGTTTGAACGATGGGATTGGACGTGAACCGGGTGTGCTTTCATTGCCTTTTGCTTTGAAGTTCCCTTCTAACTACAAGAAGGTGTATAGACATGGAGGGAAGATCGAGCATTTTCAGAAAAGGTCTTATTTGTCTCCCTATGCAGATGCTAGGGAGCTGAAAGCAGGGTCGTTGGAATTCGATAAGAGAGCGGTTTCTGTTATGCACGAATTACTTAGCTTTAGTATCGAAAAGAGATTGGTGACTGACCATCTCACTCATTTCCGACGGGAGCTCGTGATGCCGCAGAAGTTGATGAGGCTTCTTTTGAAGCATTTTGGCATCTTTTATGTTTCTGAAAGGGGGAAGAGATTCAGTGTTTTCTTGACTGAAGCTTATGAAGGTTCTGAGCTGATCGAGAAGTGGCCGTTGGTTGTATGGAAGGACAAGGTCCTGAGCTTTGTTGGTTATAGAGGAAAGAAGAAAAAGATCCCTACTTTCAGTGATCTGTCAGACATGGAGGAAATGGTTATGATTGAAGGTGATACTGAGATTGAGAATATATGTGCGAATTTTGAGGAAGAGGAAATCATGGATGGTTTAGAGGTTGTTTCACTAACTAATGATGATAATGAGTTGGAGATTCCTCATGTTGGCAATGCATACAAAGCCACTAATGATACAACTTGAGGTTAGTTTCTTTTGCAAATTCAGTTGGTGTCACTCAAGTTATGTTTGATAGTCCAAAGTTGCCATTACTTCAAATGAAAAAAATTAAGCAAAGCTTTGACTTCTTGGTAACTGTTTGCAAGTGTTTTACTCTTTGGTCATTTAGCTATTATCTTACCTGCAACCATAAATTACATTTCTGGTCGGACTTTAAATGGTTAGGAAGAAACTCACTTAAAATAGAGGTTAAAACGGAGATATGTGGTGATAGGAGAACCCGCCATAGATTTTAATCTTTGGGGTGGGAGCCTGTGAGGGCCATCGACCCTCACGGTACAAAACAATTCAATTCGCGTAAAATTCTACTTTTTCTTTTGAACATTGATGAAGATTAGAAAACTCAGTTTAAGTAATTCCTTTCTATGCAAGTTTACTTTGTAAACAAGAAACTTATCGCTATAAATAGATACTATGGATTAAGGTTATTGTTATGAATAGCATGAGGTTTCCTTCAACCGGGGACGTGTCTTGTTTTTTACAGCGAGTAATTTACTTTTTTATCTCTCTTTTACTTGCTAGTTTACATCAAAGTTAAAATATTTCTTACAAGTCAATCTTATTATTACCTTATAGAAAGCATCCATGATTATGAACAAGCCTTTATATGCCATTAAACTGCTATCTAATTTTCCTTTCAGATTGAAGAAGAAAACTCGATTGAACAATGGATAATATTTACAGTGAAGTGAAAGCAGAACTCAGACTTGAAGATGAAACGGTAAGAAATTCAGCCAATAACTGGACCATGTTTCATTTGCATCCATCACAAATCTCATCACACTATGGCTTTTCAATCGAGATCAAACAAAAATCTGAACAACAAACTCTAACATTATTATTATTAATCATTATGATACATCTTTGATTAGCTTTCAACATTTCAATTTTTGGTTAAAATACCCTTTATTGAAAGAAATCGTTAATTAACTAACGATCAAGTTGTTAATGTGACATTTTTATATATATTTAATTAATGACGTGATGTGTTATGTCTCTTAAAATAATGATGTTATATGTGTCACATCACTCATAGTGATGATGTGACATGTGTTATGTCATAATGATGTGGTGAGTGTCACATTAATAATTAATTGCATGTAAAAATATCACGTCAGTAATTTGTATTGACTTTAGTTAACTAACGGTTTCATTCCAAACACGGGTATTTTGATAAAAATTGAAACATTAAAATCAAAATGTTCTAAAGAACATAAGTAGTCAAAATGAATATTTATGCAAATTTAGGGAATAACTTTGTCATTGTCTATAGGATGATACTAATAAATGATTTAAGTGTCTTGGAAGTTTTTGAAATTTTGAAGAAAAAAAAATCAATGAAGTCCTTATATTTTGAAGTTTCACTCCTTTGACGAACCCTAACATTGAATCGATTAACATTATATATCACATCAAAATGTTTAATTTAATAACTTATGGATTAATTTATTAATGAAAATTTCAAATTTCATTTTTTTAAAAAAAATTATTAAAATTTTTTTACAAACTCAATAAGGCAAGACTATAATATTTCACGTATATCTCATAAAAATTATTAAGGCTTAAGATCCAAATTTAGTGGCTGTAAAAAATGTTTACGTACTTAATTGATTTTTTTTAAAGTTTCAGGGTTTATATTATCTTTAAATTTAATAAATTAGTGATTAAATAAATTATATAAACAATTCAAGTGATATTTGCTAAAATTTAAGATCATTAGACGAATATAAACTAATATAAACTAATAGATAAGATTAAAACTTTGTGCATTTACATTATTCATTTTTTTCGAACTATTTTTTTTTTAATTTTAACTATTAACTTATATTCATCCAATGATATTATATTAATATTAAATTAAAAAAAAAGTAAATGATATAGGGATAATTATTTATTTATGTCTTTAAATTCTGATTTATTTTAATTTTACCCTCGATTTTCTATTGTTAATTATACTTTATCCCTTGAACTAAAATCATGACTTCGTAAACTTGATCCCCTGAATGCTTCAGAATCGATGACAAGTTATCATCGAAGGAGATATTATTTCCATTGTTAATCGTCTTGCTAACAGAAGAGAGGACATTTCCGTCTTCGGGTTGTTACTCAATGAGGCTCACATGGCCTTGGCCATTTCAAGGTCTTCTATGTCAACCGTTGTGCTAACAGAGTTGCCCACTCTCTGACGAATTAAGCTCTGTCAAGGAGCAATCCTTTCTGATTTTACTATGATAAACTTAGTTGTATTAAAGACGATGTGTTACTCGATGTTATTCAAATTTAAATGAAAATTTCATCCTTTATAAAAAAATAAAATAAAATCATAGTTCCGTGCCTATATATATATATTATGCAAACCACTCACCAGTCACCACCTTACTTTTGCCTCTTAGTGGGACGGGAAGATGAAGGAAGAAAAATGTAGGCAATTAAGGACCCCAAATGCACGTCATTGTCGCAAAAAGTTACAAAACAGAACATTTAAAATGGATCGTGCATGCATGCATGCATGTAGAGACAGTAGTGGCACCAAAGATGGTAATAAATTCTCGACATTTTTAACCATCTTTGGATACGTGTACAAACGTACAACACATATTTAACACACAAACTTGTCTCTTTCATCCACTTTAGTCCCCATCTTCCTTGACTATTCCCAACTACCACACATATTAACACACGTATCATCTAATAAGAAAGCATTTGACTTTGTCACACAAACATCTGTTCATTTTGATGGAATAACATCGGCATTTGAATCGGCCAGACTATCATTTTCTTATTCAATCCATTGAATCGTTAGTTTTTTTAGGGTAAACTACACATTTAGTATATAAACTATCAGTTTTATTTTGTTTTAATCACTAAACTTTTATTTGTTTCATAACCATACCTAAAGTTTATTTTTTTTATTTCGTTTTAGTATCCCGTTCAATATTTAACGTTGAGTTTTGAAAAAAATTGGAAGTTTAGGTACCAAAATGGACCAAAAATGATAATTTAGGTACTAAACATGTTAAATTTTTAACAATGGGTACTAAAATAAAACAAAAACTAAACTAAACACAAAACAAGAGCGTTTTCCTATAATCACTCACACAAAAAACTAGCTAATTAAGATCACGTAAGGACCACATAATGAAAATGTTAAAAGAAATCTAACAAAATTAGCTCGAATAAAAGATAAATGCGCATAGATCTGACCGCATTAGTAAACGAACTATAAAAAGGATCAACCTATTAAAATATCATCGGTTTAAATAGATATTATTTTATAATAACCGGATATTATTTAAAAATGTGAAAGAATAAATATGGAGACATAAATGAATCGATGATTGGCCTTTAGACTGTTGCTAGCTGTAGCTGACTTAATTTACTACCTTTGAGTCTTTGACTAATAAACGCATTTAAGGTAGAAAACCTACGTAACTTAATAATGCAGGGTATTTGAATTTTTGTATGTAAAGTTTTTTTATGTTATTTGTATGTATATATTTAATACACCTTTAATATATAATTTTATAAATTAGGTGAAAGAGTCACCTTTGCCCCTGTAGTAGACTCAATTTATCACTTTCACCCTATCGTATTTTCACATTAATTTAACCTTCGAAGTTGTTCAATTGCATCATTCTATACCCTACCCTTATCTAAAAACCCTAAATCATATAAACCCTAAATTAGGATTTAAAGTTTAGGGTTTAGGGTTTTAAGTTAGGGGTAGGGTATAGAATGATACAATTAAACAACTTTGAGGACTAATTTGATGCGAAAATACAATAGAGGCGAAAATGATAAATTGAGTCCGTCACTAGGACAAAAGTGACCCTTAAACCTATAAATTATAAGTGAATAATGTTTTTAAAATAGTAATAAAAATTAAGTTATTGATGATGTGTATTAATGATTTATCGGTGATATATATATATATATATATATATATATATATATATATATATATATTGATCAAGTAAAATCGATTATAAGATAATATTTGTTCTAAATACTCTAAATAATTTGACGATGAACGTTCAATCGCTCTTGCTACAGTTGTTGATACTCGAACTTAGGACTTTTAAGAATAACAACAATTCTTTTAACCAATAAGGTGCTTTGTTACATGCGATTAATTGGTGATATATAAATTTATATATTATGAATTGAAAAAAATAATTAAGATTTCAAGGAGAAAGAAGAAGTCCAGCTACTCCACAAAGTAACGTGGAGAAGGAAGCTTGGTAGCAAGTACGCACCAAATGAAGGCACTGTGCTGTTGCTAGGAAACTGCTGTTTTGACCATTGCAACATGCCTCAATTTCGAATTGATTTCTTTCCCTTTAGAGGTGTTTCTTTTGGTTTTTAAATGTTTTATTAGAAAAATCAAGGTCCTTATGTCGAGTCAAAAAACATAGGGACTAAATCTCTAAATTAAACATTATATGAGGACGGAAATCATAATTTGACCTAAAAATAGGATGAACTACACATTTGGTACCTAAATATCTGGTCCGTTTTAATACTTAAAACTTTCAATTTTTTCAAAACCATGCATAACGTTTAGTTTTTGTTTCATTTTAGTATCCCGCCATTAAAAACTTAACGCGTTTAGAATCTAAACTATTAGTTTTTGTCCGATTTAGTGCCTAAACTTTTGATTTTTTTTTCAAAAATTAACAATACATTTTGAACGATGGTGCTAAAATGAAACAAAAACTAAAGCTTTTAATGACGGATACTAAAATGAAACAAAACTAAACTTTAGGTACGGTTTTGAAAAAAATAAAAAATTTAAGTACTAAAATAGACCAAAATTGATGGTTTAGATACCAAACGCGTAACTTACCCAAAATAATAAAAGAAGAAGGGGAGGAAGCAATGAACATCATTTTCTTTGATGAATATATATGCATGCATGCAAAGGGCCGGCTTTTGATGAATAAATCAAAGAGGCATTAACATTATTCCACAAAATCAGAGAGAAAAAAGTTGTTGGGGCGGAAGTGTGATTTGTAACTACAAAATTGTGCCACCAAAGAAAAAGTGAGTCAACTCGGGAAAATTTCCACATTGAGAGATGAGGTTCCATCTTCACTTTTCCCTCCTACTAGAAGCATGATCTTGTTAGAAAATGGGGCAAACTATGCATTCAGTATCTAAATTATTAATTTTGGTCTGTTTTAGTACCCGCCATTAAAAATTTAACGGACGGGATGACAGGGCATAGCTCCGGTAGACGGACAATCAATTCGAATGGTGGACCATGAGGGAATGATGAGTCGACCAACATAGTCCAGTTTCAGGCCCATCGGACGGTTGACGACGGAGATTGAAGGATGAAGAAGTCAAACAGTCCATCATTGATTTGGGGAGATTGAGGTATTTTTCAGTGAAACGGAGATCGAAATCACATTTAGGGAGTATAAAAGGTGTGGGCTGGAAAGTTTGGGCTTTATCGATCGATAGAACATCGACTGTAGACGCGATGGCTGGTGAACCAGTCTATTAAGTTTTTAACAGTGGGTACTAAAATAAAACAAAAACTAAACGTTAGATATGATTTTAAAAAATTAAAAATTAAGATATTAAAATAAACTAAAACTGATAGTTTAGATATTAAATACGTAATTTACCCTGAAAAATAATACATTAATTGTAGACTCAAACATGAGTCAAAACTTAACCCGCTTTTTGGAATAAAAAAATACACAAATTCGACCTGATATATATATATATATATATATATATATATATATATATATATATATATATATATAT